CACCTGCGGACCTTCACCTTCACCAAGCTCTACTTTGGACAGAAGGTCGGTCTCTCTCAGGGAAGGCAGCCGGACCTGCTGTGCAGGCTCTTCCCGCCCCTGCCCCGGGTCACTCGCCTGACTGGACCTCCCAGGAGGCCCGGCCCCCACCTGCACTTCCCAGCCTCTTGGTCTCAGGATAACCGCCCCCACCACACACACACACCCAGTCTTAGCATCACCATTTCTGCAGGTTCTAAGGAAACCTGGCTCAGAGAGAATGAAAAGGAGAGATGGGAAATGATTCTGAAGCAAAGTTTTGAAAACATGCCATGCGGTGGGAGCCAGCCAGACATAAAGATGTACAAGCTTGCTAACCTTGGCATCCGCTGGGGAGAACTCACCTTCGTGAAGTGGGATAGTCCGTGCCTCAAAGCAGTGTAATTCTCTACTGATTGACTGGTGCGTGCAATCCGTGTCACAAGCCCATGCCCGTTCTGTGAAGGCCCTGGGGGACCCAGGATGAAAGAAGCTTGTGTGTTGAACATCATTTCCCTATTTTAGGCTGACTGCACGATTCCGTTGTCTTGTCCCACTCTTCCTGCCCCAAAGTGCCCCATTGATTTCAGTCTTATTTTGATCATCAGAAAATGCATCCCCCAGGCAGAGCCGCTGGGATGTCCATCACCCTGTGCATCAGAGGCGTTGGCATCTGGTTTGCTCCAGAATGAGCAGGTGTGGGAAGGCAAGCCAGCCTGCTGACAGCTGTTTTCTGGCCCCGGGGCGTGAGCCCAGCTCTGCCCTGCTAGCACCCCCCCCCCGAGCGGGGGCGGATTAGGCTTGCCTAAGCCCTGGAGGTTCTGGTTGATGCCACTCAGACTCTGCTAGGACTGGCTCATCCCAGCATCTGTGGGTTCATTTGTTCTTTCACTGTTTCATTCACGTGTGACTTAGGGAGTGCGACTGTGTGCGAGGCTCCTTGCAGAGATGAGTGTGGCTATGCCCCTGCCTTCAGGAAGGTCCCTGTCCTGTTGTGGAGGCAGACATATAAACTGGTGGATGACGGACGGCAACGTGGCAGTGTACGCACGCCAGCGGAGGAATGCTTGAATTGGGGAGTGGAGGGGTGTGGGGGCTGTGGCAGTCAGGGAAGGCTTCCGGGAGGGGTGATATCTGAGTTGGCATTTGAAGAATTCAGCAGACGAAGAGTCAGGAAGCCTGCAGACTGCTGTGTTTAGCACACAGCCCGCTCTGCCAGGCCGCTTGTCTGGTGGTGTTGCCTGTGGGATAATGTGCTGCTGGAGAGCGGTCCCGGGCCGGCAGCAGAAGCAGGCCTAGAGGTGGGTGATCCTAAGGGACAGTGATCACCCTGTCAGGGGAACTTGATGGGGGAGCTGCAGGTTGACTGGGTGCCCCAGCCCTGCTGGAGAAATACCCGACTCCTCATCCTGACTTTCAAAGCCCTTCAGGTCCTGGCTCTTCCCACCTCCCCTTAGCTCTCCCAACCCTCTCCTCCCCGCCTCCCCTCCATTGGAAGGCGTCACAGAGGACTCCTCAGGTGACCTTCCTGGGCTTTCCCAGGACCCACGTACTCACCACACCCACTTTCTTCACACCCGTGAGTGTATCCAGCTTCCTCTGATTCCCATGTCCACGCCCAACTCTGCTGTGTGCTGTGATGACCTTGGGCCAGTGACTTAACCTCTCTGAGCTCCAGTTTCCTCATCTGTAGGAGGAAAGAACCCACTTCTGAGGGTGGTTGTGAAGTGTGACTAACAGGCCTGGCATCAGGGCTACTCTGCATGGCTGGGTGAGTGGTGCTCTGTGTAGGGCACCTGGCTGAGAGGGCCAGTGGGGGCCAGATTCCAGCCTGGTGCCCCTTACCTCACCATGAGCCCCAGGCCAGTGCCGCCCTGCCTGGCACAGAGAAGATGCTCCAACAGTGGTTATCCCTCCTCTCCACGGGGGGGCCTTCAGGTGGGCAGCCCTCTCCAGGACAGGCCTCTGCAGATGGGGGTCTTAGGGCTGGCTGGGCTTCCACAGGTGCCTGCCATCCAGCCCGCGGCCCGGGAGCAGGCGAGCAGGCTCCAAGCCGTGGGAGGTGGAGACAGGCCCCTTCCTCCTCGTCAGGGCTTCTCTGGGTCTTTAACATCGAGGCCCCGGGGACCAGGGTGGAGCCAAGTGCCGCACAGCCCGGAAGCTTCTACAATTCTGGGGGTTCTCTTAAAGAAAAAGAATGTAAAATTTAGAAGGTGAAACCAGGACAAAAATGCATGTTAAATAAATACGAGAACGTATGAGAAGAAATCACAGCAACTTACACATTTTAAAAAGCTGACATATCACTCACATCACAAACTCCAGGAAAACTGACATAATAACTTAAGTGACCTGCTCCACATACCCCTGCAATACTTTCCTGCGTTTTTAATTCTGTCTTCTTTGCTAACCTTCTCATGTGACAGTGTATTTGTAAATGCCACTTTCCATGGAGAGATATTATGGTTGACTGAATTTTTTCTCCAACATTTGATTATGAAAAATTTCAAATGTACAGAAAAATTGAGAAAATTTTGTGGTGAAACATCTGGATTGTACAGTTGTTAATCTTTTACCACGTTTGCTTGTGCACATATCCATGCGTCTGTCCCTCTTGTCTTTTTTTTTCTGCATTTCAGACTAAATTGCAGACCTCAATGAACTTCACCCCTAACCTTCAGCTGTAGACGTATCACTAACTCAAATTCAGATGAAATTATTTTTTATTCTTGATAAATAATAACCAGACCCCACTCCATTGCCACCTGATGGGAGGAGAGAAAAGTGTGGGCAGAGGGGGCAAGAAAAATTTCCGAGGAGCTTGGCCCTCAGCCCCAGAGGTTGGGCCCTGGAGTGGGACGTGTTTATTCACAGGGTCACGTCTCTCAGCCAAGGACCCTGCCCTCTTCCCTTGCCCTTAGAGGACCAACTCCTACTCCTCTGCCATTGCTGTGTAAAGGCCTCCTCCTAAAGGAAGTCTTCAGTAACCTCTGCCCACCCCAAGCGGGGTTGGGAGGTGCTTCTAAAGTCCCCAGATCCCAGTGTCATGGCACAGGCTGCAGCTTCTCACGCCCCCACCCCCACATTGTCTCCTCTGCTGGACTGTGAGCCTTGCTTCTTGCCTTCTCCCCAGGGCTGTGCCTGGCCTGGAGTAGGTGCTCAGTAAATATCTGTGGCAGGGGAGAGAGAGGGAAGGTCCACATTCTAGGGCAGGAGGTGTTGGGGTGCCAAGGGCCGGCAGGGGGCTGCAGGGTAGATTTCTGAGTTTGTGCCTCATCCTGGGGTGCAGTGGTCACGTTGGCTGTCAGGGAGAAGCCCAGCGCTGGGTGGGGAGAGCAGCCACCCCCGCCACTGCCCGCAAGACCCCTGCTGACCTAGCCCTCTGGCATCTCTTCCAGTGCCCCAGGGTCAACGGAGTCAAGGCGCACACCAACCAGCGCAACCGGAGACAGGTGGTCCTGGACCTGCAGATCTGGTGAGCTCTTGTGCCTGTGGGCCCAGGCGTGGGGGACGTGGAGCACTGTGAGAACAGCTGATTTGAAGATGGAGTTGCAGATACACACTTCCGTTTGGAATGAGACAGCCCCTCACAGCACGCATCCCTCTTCCTCCCCCCACGCTGGAGCACAAGGGCCCTGCTGGGAGGGGGAGGAGTGTCAGGAGAACGGATGGTCCCCGGGGAGCCAGTGCCTTCAGAGCCCTCAGCCCAGGCCGGGCTTCTCCCGTAACCCAGGCACCAGGCAGCTTCTGGGAACCAAGACCCAGGCAGCAGAGCTGTTTTAGAGACCAGGGCACCTGGAGGGTCAGACCAGCTGCCTCAGAGAGGATGCAACAAAAGGGAGTAAGCGTGATGAGAAAATGTGGGGACTTGTGGTGCGACCCAGGGAGCTCCGAGCACAGGCTGGGAGAGAACAGCGGGGGAACTGGGCTTTGTGGCACCTCAGGAAAACTAAAGGGTGCAGAGACACATGAGTGACTAGTTCAGTGGGTTGGGTAAGGGCACCTCTTTCGAATGAAGTTTGCAATAGGCTTGAGTCAGAGAGAAGGAAAATTCAATCCAGGAAGTGTTCCTAGAGGTGGTGGGATTCAAACTGTACTTAAAGGACCAAGGATCCACTCCAGAGGTTCTGAATGTTGCCGTTCCTTTCCAGTGCCTCGTATTTCCTGTCCTTAGCTCAGAGGCTGGCACTGAGAGCACACGGGGAAGACAGGAGTCATCTCTGGGAACGGCTATGCCCAGATGGGAGCCAGTCTCAAGTGTGTTGAGATGGTGGTGCCAGTTGGGCACTGCCAGCCCCAAAGCTCCACCACAAAATCCTTGTGTGAATAGTTGGGGCGTGTCAAGGTCATCTGGCCCAGCCTCGCAGTCAGCTCAGGGAGCCTCGGGCTCCCAGGTTCCCCCTGCCCCTCCAGGGGACACCCAGCATTTTTGTGGTGTCTGGCCTCTCCGCCTGTGTCCTCAGATGTGGGATGGGCACCTCTGCCTCCTCTTAGTTTCTCCTCAGCCCTTTGACAGGGTCTCTGCCCTCTGCCCTCAAGGGCACCCATGCTGGGCTCCCTGTGCCCTGCTTGGCAGGAGCCTCCAGCTGGACTCAGGCTCCTGAGCCCGTGTGGCTTTGCCCACCTCAGCACCACCAGCAGCAGCCCGTGTGAATGGCTGGATGGAGGCAGCGGGGCTGCTCTGTGTCCTTGGAAATGAGACCTGGGCAGAGATGGGGCAGGGACACAGTGGTGTGTGCACCTAGAGCCCCCCCTTCACATCTGTGGGGGGTCGTGGGGTGAGGTGGAGCCCAGAGTCACTGCCCTTGTGGACAGAGGTGGGGGTGCTCATGGGACACCAGGGTGCGGGAACCTGGGGTGCTGCCTCTGGGGCTCTGGGCTCGGGGCAATGTCTACTCAGAGCTGAGAAAAGCCAAGGCTGTTAGGGAGTCCACAGCTGAGTGGTGCAGGGCTCAGGCTTGGGCTGGGCTGCCCTGGGCATGTCTCCCGATCTCTCTGAGTTGGGGAACTGGCCCTCCTCCCCACCCTCCTTCTCCCTCCGCACTTTCAGCTACATTGGGGATTGTGAGATCAGCGTGGAGCTGCAGAAGATACAGGCTGGTGTGAACGGGATCCAGGTGGGTGGAGCCCAGCTTAACTGCCTCTGGGGTCATGTTCAGGGCAGGAGAAGCGGGGTTTTGCTGGAGCAGGCTGCAGAAGGGGGTGATGACACCAGAACCCTCAGAGGCAGGCAACAATCAGGGGTTCCGCGCCCGAGGTCGCACCACCCCACTGCTCAGGACAGCCCCACGCCTGCCCACGCCTGCCTCTGTTTGCCAGGTCCCTTGCAGAGAGGCCTCAGCTGCCCTGGGAAGTGAGAGGCCCTCTTTCTGGAGCAATGCAGAGTGGGTGCTGAGAAACTGAGGCGGGTGGAGGAGATGGAGCCACCTTACAGCAGGAGTGGAGGAGCTGAGGAGCTGGAAAGCACCCCTGGGGCCCGGCTGTAGGAGAGGGCAGCGGGAGCCAGCTCAGGGCCCATGGCAGCCGGCAGAGTGGTGGCAGCTGAGTGCAGGCCTCTCTTCCCCATGTGTGGTCCCTGCTGTGGCAGCGGGTGGCCTAGGCATGAATGAGCCAGCAGCGGCCTAGCTGAGCACAGCAGGTGTGGGAGGCAGGGAGGCTGAGGTCCTGTGCCATCCAGTTGCCTCTTGTGCCATCCAGCTGCAGGGCACACTGCGGGTCATCCTGGAGCCCCTCCTGGTGGACAAGCCCTTCGTGGGAGCTGTGACCATGTTCTTCCTGCAAAAGCCGGTGAGTCCCAGGGATGAGGCAGGCCTGTTGCTCCCTGGGAGTCAGTGCTTGCCCACTGGGCCCTGTCACTGAGCTTGAGCCCCAGAACAGGTGCTGCCAAAGACCCCCCAGACCCCTTATCTCATGTGCTCCTTAAGGTGCCTGAGGGCTGGACTCTGCTCAGCCCAGAGAAGTGGTCACACAGCTGTTGGAGGTGGAGAGGAGGCTGTCACCCAGAGCTCTCTGGGCCCAAGCCAGCTGGTGGCCACTCCTGTGGTCCCAGCAGGAAGCAGCCCGCCTGACAGCCCCAGTCCTGAGCAGGACTGGGCGGTGCCCTCACCTGCCTGACCCCTGATAGAGGGCGCCTTGTCCCCCAGCAGGCTGAATTCTCTGTGGGGGTGTGTGTGTGAGGCCCTTGGCAGAGGCTTCTCAGCCTGGGCTTCTGGCCCCTTCCTGCCTGACTGCCTCCCTCTGCCTCTGCAGCACCTGCAGATCAACTGGACCGGCCTGACCAACCTGCTGGATGCGCCAGTAATTAAGTAAGTGCCTGTGCGAACCACCAGGCAGACCCGAGGTGGGGAGGCGGGGCCCTCAGGGCTGGGCAGTCAGTGCCGAGAGCTACACCATGGCTGTGCCCTCCCCGCCGCTCTGTGCACAGGGAGAGGGCTGGGCACCTGCCCCTTCCAGGGGGAAAGTGTTGATGTGTGTGGAGCACACACCATCGGGTGAGACGTCCTAGAGAAGGCCACATGGACTCATGAGAGGCAAGCACGCGCTCTGGACCTGGACCAGGCTCCTGGCCCTGGCCCTTGGCAGCTGTATGCCTTTGGACAAGTTACTTCACCTCTCTGGGATCTTTCTAAGTAAAAGGGGAGCCAGATTCCTCTGTATTAAGGTCCCTGGGTGAACACTGAGGTGCGTGTGGTGCTGCTGGCACAGTGGATGTGGACACACACATGTGTCCTCTTTCTGCCCTCGTCCACTCCCTCCCCAGCCCATGTGTGTGAGAAGCCCACGAGGCTCCCCACCCATGGTGACCACATCGCAGACACAGGTGTGGGAGGTGGCAGCTGTCACAGCAGAGGCCAGTGAGGCAGAGCTGATCTGGGCACCTCATCTTCCTGGGGCCAGGGTGCTGCTGCGCTCAGGGCTCCAGTCCCATGTGGACCACCTCCCAGGACGGAGGGACAGTGGGATGGGCCAGGGTGCCCACTGGCTGGCTCGCCAGGCCCAGCAGCTGCCATACCTTCAGGGAGGACCACTCGCTGACTCTCTGGGAACATTCCTACTGAGCTCTGCCACCTAGATGCAGAGAACCCATTCTTCCTTTCAGAAGCTATTTCCTGAGCACTTACTGTGTGCCAGCCCTGTTCTAGGCCCTGCCCACCTCCCTATACTGAGGAGATGGAGTCGGGCTATACAGAATGGAAGGGCTGCTGTAGAGAACATGTGCCCCGCATTTACTGTGCACTAGGCACTGTTCCCAGCACTTCACAGGTATTAACTCATCCTCATAACAACCCCAGGAGGAAGGCATAATTATCCCCACTGTAGAGATGTGGAAATTGAGGTCCAGAGAGGTTAGTGACTTTCCAAGGTCACACAGCTTTGGTTGGTGGAGCCAAGCTTCTAACACAGGCCCCAGTCCTCACTCTGAGCTACCACTCTGTGATGCCTCAGAGAACAGAGCGGGATTGGGGTGGGGTGGGGGCTCGGGGCAGTCAGTATGTATACCCACACCCTGCCCCTGACCCCCCATCCAGGCAGGCTGGGGTCAGGGCCGCTCTCTCCCAGGAAGGGCCCACCCCACCAAGCTGGTTCCAGCTGTGGGGATGGGTGGAGGGGCAGGTGGCCTGGGGGAGGTGGTGCCACCCTCCATAGCTGGTTGTGCCCACTGTCCCCAGTGAGGTGACAGACAGCTTGCTGGAGGACCTCATTGCCACCCACCTGGTGCTGCCTAACCGCGTGACTGTGCCTGTGAAGAAGGGGCTGGACGTGACCAATCTGCGCTTCCCTCTGCCTTGTGTGAGTACCCGCACTGGCTGCCGAGCGCTGGGCCTGGAGCTGAGGGACAGATGGGCGGGGGCTTGCATCCTCAGATGGTAATGCTTATTTCTGCCCTGTGGGGGCCTGGTACCCCGTTTTATGGGGCTAAGATTGAGTCTCAGGAACGTTGAGTGACTTGCCCAAAGTCACCCATCTTGGGAGGGACAAAAGCCCAGGGGCCATTCCTTCCCGGATCTTGGTCCCCTACTTCCTGTGGGCAGTCACCCTCGCCCCCAGGAAACTCCAGGAGCCCCCCATCGTCCCTTTGGGGACAGGAGGCTGCCGCTCCATTCTTCAGTGGTAGGAAGAACCCTTGTGTCTGCTGGGAAGGAGGAGGTTCAGGGGAGCCAGGACATGGGGCTTCCTTGGGTGTTCAGTGCCCCCGGCCCCTACCCATCTTGGGCCCAGCTCAGGAGACCCCTGAGGACAGCCACGTGGCCTCCCTGCAGAAGGTGCCCTGCCGATGGGCCTGAGCCCTTCAGGCTGGGAGTCGGCCTCGGGAGAGAGGAATGTGCCTTTTTTTTTTTTACCTATCAGTGCCATGTGTGAGGCATCAGCCCACATAGGCCATGGGGTGAGGCTCAGGCCAGCCTTCTCACAGCGACGCGTGGGCCATTTCCCACACCATGCATTTAGCGATCTCAGAATAATCCAGCACCCCACCAACACCACAGCTACCGCAGGCATTCTGTCCTGAGGGGATGTCCACTAGAGACATGCTGTCAAGTTGCTAGGATTTAAATTCACTCAGAATAGTTCCTCTCTGTTTGTGACAAGAGGCCGTGAATATTTACATGGATTTGTTTCCTTCCATTTTCTGTTTCTAGGGTTTAATTTTTTACCTTGACTTCTTTTTATAATCATGTAAAATATCTTCATGCTTCTAACGTCCAATACGACAAGCAGGTTGTACTTTGAGGAGTCTGGCTTCCCCGTTCCCTCCACCTGAGTCCCCGCTTCCCCCATGAGTAGTGGTTTGTCCTCCCAGTATTTTTCATTACGTGTTTTCTAATACGAGCAGGTACATGTATGTGCTTGTGTGTCCATACCTGATTACACTGGCAGACCCCCGTCTTGGATGGGTGGCAGCACGCGACAGCTCTCCTCACCTTGCTTTTATCATTTGTGTGTCATGACGGCCACTCCGTGACGCTGTAGGACGCGGTACTCCGCCACGTGAATGTACCGCATTTATGTAACTAGTTCTCCACTGATGGACGGTTGAGTTATGTCTAGTCCTTTGCTATTTCAGATAGTGCTGTCTTGAAGAGCCTTGTACGTGTCTCTTTATATTTTTGCCAATATGCCTTTAGGATAGATTTTGAGAGGGGATTGCTGGGTCAAAGGGCAAGTGCATATGTATTTACTGTTATTTAAAAGAAATAGTTCTAGGCAGGAGGCCTGCTGGCCCCTTGAACTGTGTTTTTCCTAATTCCTGTGCTCTGTTCTGCTGTATGACATAGCCAGGGTGGCGGGAGTGGGGGAGTCAGTGTGGGGCCTTTTATGAGCACAGGGACCCACCGCCAGTAGCACGCAGTGCCTACAGGGGTGTGGACACCCAGGCACTGGGCAGAAATGATACTGGACCTGGGTCTACGTGCAGGTTGGAGATGGGGCTGGAACATAGGAGGGAACCTGCTTGGGTAGCTTGGCAGTTGGCACAGGAGGAGGAAATGGCTGCAGTTGAATAGGCCATGCACGCAGCAGGTCCGAAGGCTGGGAGGGTCGGGAGGCTGGGAACTCGGGCTGGCATCGTGACGCGGTGGACGGAGCCCTGGGCCCTTCCATCACCTGCTGCATGGCCTTGGCCAGGAGGCTGCCATCTCTGGCTTCTGTGTCCCAATCCAGACTTGGGAGAGGGTGAGACGGGGCTGGGGTGATAGCTGGTGGCTTTAGCTCTGATGTTGGGGGCCTTGAGGGCCCTGAGACAGCTCTGAGCCCCGGGCTGGGGCATTTTCCAGGGGGTTATCAGAGTCCACTTGCTGGAGGCGGAGAAGCTGGCCCAGAAGGACAGCTTCCTAGGGATCCGGGGCAAGTCAGACCCCTACGCCAAGGTGAGCATCGGCCTGCAGCATTTCCGGAGCAGGACCATCTACAAGAACCTGAACCCCACCTGGAACGAGGTGTTTGAGGTGAGGCTCTCCTGGCTGCTCTCAATGCACTCGGGGCTTCATTCTGGGTCGTGCTGGCCAAACAAGGGAGGGTCTCACCTTCCTGATTCTCACATGCTGAGGGGCAATGCCAGGCCAGAGGCGTGGGCCCTGCAGACAGATGGGTCTGTGTAACTCCTATCTCCCATGTCCACCAGGCCCCCGAGGCGGGTGTCTGCTGGAGGGCCGGCTTATAGACGGACTCAGCTTTGTTGGAAGTGTTCAAATCAAATCAAAGAATCTCAGGGGCAGTTCTGTGTGTCCTCTCAGTCTCCCCTGCCAGAGCCAGACACTGGGAGGCTGAAGTTCTTCCTGAAGTTCAGTCACCATCCCTACCTACCGTACGAGGGGGAGGCCCCACCTGCTGAGCCCTCTGGAAGCTGCAAGCACGGGGCAGAGCACAGGGCGGCCACCGTCCCGAGCAGCCTCTGCCCCAGGCTGCCACAAGCGGCCCTTCATCCTCCTCTTCCCAGAGGAGAAGGCATCACTCCCTTCTTACAGGCGGGGTCCTCCAGGCACTGAGAAGGGCAGGAACCTGCCCAGGGCTCCGAGCTGCCAGGTGGCAGAGCTGAACTTGGCTCCGTGGGTGTCATGCCTGAGGTTGGCTTCACCAGACCTTGTGGCCTGCAGGTCAAGTCGCCTCTTTCCTTCCAGTTCATAGTGTATGAGGTCCCTGGGCAGGACCTGGAGGTGGACCTGTACGACGAGGATCCTGACAGGGATGACTTCTTGGGCAGGTGAGGAGGAGGGCCGAGCTGGGCCTGGGGGCAGAGGTACCCCTGCTCCCACCCCTCAGGGACCTGCGACCTCACTGGTTACTCTGCCGAGGTGACTGTGCCAGGCAACCGGCCCCATCATTCCGCATTGTTGCCACACCCCTCCTCCCCAGATGTCTCCCGAGTGCCCAGCCCTGGGCTCGGCCCTGGGGGTACAGAGAGGACCCCAGGGTCTGTGTACCATGGGCTCAGCTTTGTGTGCTGCTCATTACGTGCCCAGAGTCCCCTTTGGGAGCAGTGGGCAGGGGCAGGGCTGGCATGGGCACCAGGCCCTGGGGCCAAGGCACCCTGTCTGCTCACTCAGGGGCGGAACACAGACCTCAGGGCTGTGGAGGGTACAGGAAATAACTGGGGTTGGGGCTGGCTATCAGAACTCCAAAGGTACATGGGTTTTGATCCAGCCGTCCCACCTCCAGGAATCTCCTGTAAAATAAAAGCGTTATACCTGAAATGCTGAGTGCAGACTTGCCTTTGGCAAAAGAAGCAGCTGGAAATAACATGTGTGCAGCTCAGAGGACATTGGTCGAATGTTTGAATAAATTTGTCATTGCCAAACCACCAGATACCCTGTAGCTTTTAAAAATGATGAGTAGGATCTATGTAAGTTGACCTTGAGGACATTTGTTATTTGTCTAAGCAAGTGGGGGAAGTTGGGCTGACCTGAACAGCTGATTCATCTTTCCAGGGAGGGCAGTCATATACATGTTGGCCTGTGTTTGCATGGAAGCGACAGCAGACTGAGTGCACTAGTTGTCTCAGAGGCTGGGATTAATAGGCAGCAGAAAAGAGTTTTACCCAAATCTTCACATTCCCAAATTGTGCAGCTTGTTTCCATGAACATGTGATTTTTAAAAGTAGTAACAAAATGGGAGGGGCACAATCTGACAGCCCAAAAAATAACTTACCACCAGATGTTACTTATCATTTAAAATTTTCCATCCAAATGAAAGTAGTTGTGGTTTGTGTAGTGTTGCAGATTAGAAGTGTCTTGTGGTTCATGTTTTATGTAACTGATTTCAAGTGTGTTTTAAGCTCAAGCACATTTCTAACAGTCACACAGAGTTAACCTCCCTTCCGGCTGTGAGGACCTTCCAGTTGGACTTAGGTCGGGGTAGGTGGGAGACATGCTGTGAACGAGGGTGTTACTGCCTTTCACGTATATGCCAACTAGACTTATTCCCTGGAGGGCATCTGGGGCAGTTTTGGAAATGGAGGGGCATTTGGAGTTGTTACAGTGACCGCAGGAGGTGGTGCCACTGGCAATTTAGAGGGCACAGGACTGGGAAGCTAAATTCCTGCAACGCATGGGCAGTTTTGCACAATGAAGAATCATCCGAGCCAAAATGCCAGTAGCAGCGTCCCTGAGGAATCCAGAGCCAGTGTTTCCAGCAGCGTCTGTTTATTCCCCTCTGGAGATCAGAGCTGCCTGCCCCCAGGGTGGCACACCTGATGGGAGCAGCCTATGGTTAGACAGTCCTTCCTCTGAGCTCAGAGCAGTCTCCCATTCATTCCTTGGGATGAATAAGGTCCTCTGTCAGGAGGCCCCCCTCAGATACTTGAAAGATCCCAGGGTGGGCTCCACGCCCTTGGCTTCTGCCACCTCTGTGCCGAGCTGACCTCCCCCTCCCTGTGTCTTCCAGCCTGCAGATCTGCCTTGGGGACGTCATGACCAACAGAGTGGTGGATGAGGTAGGGTTGGTGCCCGCAACTCCCTCCCTGTGGGCGGCGCTGTTTCCACCCTGAAGTGTAGCACTTCTGCCCTCCTGGTCCCTCTGCACCGTCTGGGCTGGTTCACCTCCTCCCTGAAGCCTCTCTTAGGGCCCTACTGGGTCCCAGACTGAGCTGCCTGGAGAGTCAGCAGCGTCTCTGGCCCTTTTCCTAAGCTCCCCCATCCCCTCCCCGCAGTGGTTTCCCCTGAACGACACAACCAGCGGGCGGCTGCACCTGCAGCTTGAGTGGCTCTCCCTGATTGCAGACCCGGATGCTCTGACTGAGGTGAGCGTGGGGTGCTAGGGCTCCCTGGCAGAAAGGCGGAGGGGGTACTTGTGGCAGGACTGGGCCTTCTGTGAGCTGTGCGCATGGGGGCGGGGGGAGGGAGGGAGATGAAGCCCCCAGACCTTGCCCAGAGCCCTCCGGCCAGCCCCACCCTCTGAAGAGCGTGGGCACACAGGGCGGGTGGAATCCCTAAAAGCTGCCAGCCCAGTTCACAGACAAGTCTACAGATCCTGACTTGAATCTGTCATGCTGTAGTTGCATTTTCAGCTTCAGCAAAGGGCTAGGTTGTGAGGGACAATGTGGCCAGTTTGGAGTGCAAGGCTTCTCCAAAGCCAGCCTGCATCACCTGCTGCCGGGGGCACCTCATGAGAGTCTGTGTCTGCTTGTAGGGCCACGGGAGCCTTTCCACTGCCATCCTCGTGGTCTTCTTGGAGAGTGCCTGCAACCTGCCGGTGAGTGATGACGTGGCCAGAGTGTCACACACACCTGGCCTTGGGCCCATCACTTTCAAACGTCCACATGTTGCTGATTCACCCTTTCTTCTCGTGCTGCAGAGAAACCCTTTCGACTACCTGAATGGCGAGTATCAAGCCAAAAAGCTCTCCAGATTTGCCAGGGTACGTGTGTGTGTGTGTGTGTGTGTGTGTGTGTGTGGCTGAAAACGCGAAAGAAAGTCACAGCTCCTTTCCCCCAGAGTAACCACTGCCCCGTGTCTTCTAGGCGACACTGTGCACAAGGCGTGGGGATGATGAGAACTGCCATTTACCGAGTCTGCCGTGTGCCGGGCACTGGGCTTGGCAGCTCCTCCCCACACCCGTTATGCCTGAGTCCCGTGACTGTGTCTGTTTTTATTGCCATTTGAAAATAGGACCCAGAAGTCTAAATGCCTGGGTCACACAGCTAAGGGGGACCTGGAACACGACTCCACCCTGTTGGTGTCCACAGCTCTAGGGAACAAGAGTCTGTGCCCAGCCAGGCCCAGCTCTGACCTCAGCTTGGAAGCTACCCCCAGGGTCAGCCCTGTCCAGGTGCTGCCACAGGGATGGCAGCCCGGGCCTGGGAGCACCAGGGGAGCCTTCTCTCAAAGGAAGTGGTTGGGTGGCCTCAGGTCCCACTGGCGCTCCTGGGGGCTGGGAGGCAGGGTCTCAGGCTGGCACTGAGGGTACCAGCTCCATTCTGTGGATTTGCCTCCTCACAGAATAGAGTCAGCAGAGACCCTTCTTCCTATGTGAAGCTGTCTGTTGGCAAGAAGACACACCTGAGCAAGGTAAGACAGCTTGGCATGGAGCCAAGGACTAAGGAAATGGGGGCCACCTTTTCAGGGACAGAAGCAGAAGGGAATTGGCTTGCACTGAATGCCTGGTCAGTGCCAGCACACGTCCTAGGCACTTCATAGTGTCTTCAAACTAACCTCTGACAGTCGGAGATCAGTGACTGGCCTAAGGGCACATGCTAGACAGCAGCAGAACTAAGGTTCAAGCTCAGGCGTGGCTCCAAGCCTGTGTCCTTTCCACCGCCCCAGCAGCAGAAATCCGGCGGGCCTCCTCCCCCTGGAAGTGAGCTCTAACGCTGGTGTGATTTCAGCCCCTGTGAGACTTCCTGGCACAGCTCTCCTTGCTTTGAGGCTGGCCTGCCCGCCCTAGCGCCCCCCACGAGCTGCAGTGCGCAGCGGTCTGTTCCTGGGCAGACACAGAGTAGGTTCCCAAAGACATCAGGTGGCCAGAGTGAGAGCAGAGGGCACTGGTTTCCAGCTGTGCCCAACCTGACCCTTCAGTGATCTCTCCTCCTCCTGTCCCCAGACTTGTCCCCACAGCAAGGACCCTGTGTGGAGCCAGGTGTTCTCCTTCTTCGTGCACAACGTGGAGACTGAACAGCTGCATCTGAAGGTTTGCTTGAAGTTGGGCTTTTAGAACAGAGCTAAGAGGTGTCTGAGCCAGGAGGGGTGGAGAGCTTGAGCGGCTCCTCTGGCTATAAAGTCAGACCCTTGTGTGTGGAAAAGGATGCTGAGGGCCCACAGCTTCATGAGGCTGGTGCCCAAGGTCATTGAGTAAAAGGCTGTGGAAGCACAAACCCTCAGGTCCCTTGGTGCTCCCTGCAGGAGTCTTTCTGGTTGTTACATGGCACCCAGTGTGGCCTGAGTTGGCATTTAGCTAGAACATTAATGATGATTTACTTCTTTAAAAAATATTTAACCTTCACAAAAGATCTGTGAAAGAGGTAACTTCTTTACACATGAGCAAATAGAGGCTCAAATGATGACTCGTCCAAGATGTCATGACCAACAAACGGTAGAACCGGGGTATCTGGGGGCCCTGAGCCCTGCCTGGATGTCCCATCAGGGAGCAGCACAGCTCATCGGTCCCTAAAGCCCTGATGGCCCCAGGCATTTGACAGACTTGCCTCATATAGATCAGTTGTCTACAGAGTCACCCTCTTGCTCTGACTGCAGGCAGGGACCAGGCCTGACTCCATTCCCAGTTTCAGAACAGGACCAGAGGCCAGTAGAAGCACAGTGTATTCTTACTGAAGTGAGCTCAGACTTGGTTGGTGCCCAGAGAGTGGCGGTGGTGAGGGTGGGGCTTGGTTATCATCTTGTGTTATGACTGGCCCACTGCCCAGGTGCTTGATGATGACCAAGAATGTGCTCTCGGAGTGCTGGAGTTCCCGCTGTGCCAGATTCTCCCCTGTGCAGACCTCACCCTGGAGCAGCGCTTTCAGCTGGACCACTCAGGCCTGGACAGCCTCATCTCCATGCGGCTGGTGCTTCGGGTAAACCTTTCCCCTCTTCCCCCAGGGGAGGCAGGGGGTGGACTGTCCCAGCACTAAGTATACCTACACTGTGCTGGGAAGCAGCTCAGAGGTGATTCACAGTTTTCATCAATTCCAGAATATTGTCAGCTCTTGTCTCTTCAAATATTGCCTCTCTCAATCTTTAATCTCTTGTTGTTATGATGGACCTTCTCATCCTTTCCATGGCTTGACCTGACCTTCACATTCTCCATCTCTTCACCTCTTGGTGCTACATTCTAATTTTCTCAGACCTGTCTTCCAGACCGCTCATTCTTTCTTTGGCTATGGCTAATCTGCTGTTTAACCTGTTCAGTGTTTATTTCAAAGGCTGTTTTTCATGTTTAACCTTATCCTTTCCAAATCTAGAATGTCTTTTTGTTGTTGTTGTATTTTATTATATTTTCCGTGTGTCTATTTCTTCTGTAATCATTTGAAAATGCTTATAATGTATGTCTGTTAATTCTGTTATCTGAAGATCTTGGGAGTTAAATTTTGATGTCTGTTTTATCTGATGCTTTCTCATGGTGACTCATTTCTCCGCTTGGTAACTTGTGTTGCAGACATCTGTTCACTGTTCCTTTGTGGACTGGATTGAGGTTGTTCACTTCCAAGGAAGTTCTGCTTTGGCTGCAACCAAGCACCTCAGGGGCATTACAAACCTGGGTCCACTTTTAATTTGGGGTTTCAAGACCCCACAGGTCATAGAAGTATGAAAATTCACAGGAGACAGGCCTGTAAGGTGCCATTCTTATTCTCAGTTAAGACTGTATTTACCCCCAACCATCAGTCTTTGCTGGTGGGCAGAATGTTTATTTATTCTTCACTACTTTTTCACTGAAGACATACCACCTTCATGGGTCCTACACTGACCCAAGGCCTCTTCTAACCTCTTGGATTCCAGGGTTAATAAATGACCCTGAGAAAGTTAACCTTTATTTTTCAGTTCTCTTACTCTTTTTTTTTCAGCTTAGTGTTTTTTTTTTTAACCTAGTGGTTTACTTGTGAATTTGGCTATGCATATAAAAGTATATTTGTTTCATTTTATTGAGCATTCCTAACATGAGGTTTTTCAGAATATTTTGACTACCATATTGCTGCAAATGGAAGTTCCCTGAAAGTGTCTTAATGATTGATGGAAAAAGAGGAAGGAGAAACACAATGGCTGAGGTTTGAAACCTTGGTGCTAGGAGCACAGGGTTGTGACTGGATAGGAAACACATTCTAGGGAAAGCAGTGGTGAATAAGATGACAGCCAGAAATGAGCATATCCAGAAGGCAGCTGGTGATACATGTGAAGGTTAAGGCGAGCGCAAGACTGTGGGTGTAGGTCTAGAAGTCTTCTGCACAGAGGAAAAGTGCAGGAAAAGTGAGAATGGGCAGGGCTCCAGCAGCCATTCTGACTGTAGTGAGAGAAGGTGGCCAGGACTGAGTCTGCATGAAGACTAGTGAGGCAGGAGGAAGGGGAAAGACAGTCTAGTCAGAGGGAGACAGAGGCCTGGAGAGGTTAAGGAAGATACGTTCTGGGGGTAAAAATCCATTGGATTGGGCAGTCAGGAAGAAACTGAGTTTTGAGAAAATTGTTCCTTCCAGAAAAGAGGAGAAGGAACCATTTCCCAGAGGTGAAGGTGAGAGCAGAGGAGGAAGTAGAAGTGGCGGGCCAGCCCACAAACAACCCTGTCATCTGCTTGCAGTTCCTGCACGTGGAAGAACGAGAGAGGGGAAGCCCATACACTGGACCTGAAGCCCTCAAGAAAGGCCCTCTGTTCATTAAGAAGGTGGCCGCCAACCAGGGCCCCAGAGCCCCACCTCAGGGAGAGAGCCCTGCAGATTTGCCACGTCCCCCAGACCCTGTTTCTGATACCAAGGAAGCCTCCAAGAGCACCACAACCCCCCCCAGTGCCACCACTGCTGCCACGAAGCCCATGCCTCAAGAGACGGGCCCAGAGCCCAAAGGCAAGGACAGTGCCAGAGGGGTCTGTGCGCCCGTGGGGGAGAAGAAGAGTATGGCCACCATCTTCCTGACTGTCCCAGGCCCCCACTCTCCAGGGCCCATCAAGTCACCCAGACCCATGAAATGCCCTGCCTCCCCATTCGCATGGCCGCCCAAGAGGCTGGCTCCCAGCATGTCCTCGCTCAACTCCCTGGCCTCTTCCTGCTTTGACCTGACAGATATCAGCCTCAACATTGAGTATGCACCTCTCTGCTTCATCTTTTCTAAAATCACCTGCATGAAAAGTACCTCCCTGGATGGAAAAGTAGATATGGACTTACTTTTCTGTGCAAGTTCTGATTTTTCACAAAATGGCTTCACAAGAGGCAGCACAGTGGAAGAGAAAGAACACGGGGGAGAAAGAGAGCGCATCTGTACCTGCCAAAAGTCTGGCGGGGCTCTAGCTACATACCAGCTGTAACGTACATGCTGGACTTCGGTTGTTAAGGTCCCTTCCTTACAGGCAGAAACATATCCTGAATTAAAGAGCTATACTGGGATGATATGGAAAGTTTAGAATGTGGAATTATACAATCAGTGGCTGTTATTAAGTGTTTACTCTGGGCTTATCATGTTATTTAATTCGATCTTTACAACAATTCTCCAAGACAGAACTCATTACCATAAAGGTTGAATAACTCCCCCAAGGTTCCACAAGAAATTACGGTAGAAAGGCAGATTGACTCCAGGGTTCGTGTTCTTCCTGCTGTGAAGTAGGATAATCACACACGAATGCTGGAGAGAACTGACTTCTGACTACAGGAAACCTCACTAAGGATTATTTTATTAACTCACATGGCTCCGTGTTCCGAAAGCAGATATATATGCTTCTGTCGTGGGGGTGGTAGGAGAGGCCAGCACTTGTCATGGCAGAGAAGTGACAAGTCCTTTCTTTACAGAGGCGGGGACCTCAGGCAGCGAAGGCTGGGTGAGATTCAGCTCACGGTGCGCTACGTGTGTCTGCGGCGCTGTCTCAGCGTGCTCATCAATGGCTGCAGGTACAGGGCTGCCAGGGCCAGCACGGGTGGCCGGCAGCGTCAGGAGACCACGAATCCGGGTGGGGGTACTTGGAGCAATGGCAGGGGCAGGCAGCCCCAAAGTAGACAAGTCATGTATTTGGAAGGAATGAGGCTTGAAGGCCTGCATGCTGTGTAACCAGGTCCTCGATGGTGCTGACGGGCCCCAGAGCCCAGGGCTTTGCTCAGACCCACCCACTGCAACGCTGTCTTGTGGGACAGGGAGCTAGGACACTTTCTTCGGTGAGACTCTTCAACTTCCTTTAGATGGAAAGTACTTGGCTCTACTCCAAACTTTATAAAAACACACGTTTTCAAAACCACGCATCTGTTTGACCTGTAAATTCTTTTGTGTTTTTGGTCATCTAGACTATAGGGCATATTCATCCTCAAGGCCATCTAAAGCTTCACGGCTAGGAAAGCTTTCTCCAAATGAGTATTTTAAGTATTTCACAACCAGGGTCCTTTTTTCTTTAATGTCTTTGAAACCAAACCAGAAACCTGACACCCTGTACCAGCAGTGGAGCTGATCCCTACGTCCGTGTCTACTTGTTGCCAGAAAGGAGATGGGCAAGTCGTAAGAAGACCTCAGTGAAGCGGAAGACCCTGGAGCCCCTGTTTGATGAGACGTAAGTGGCCCAGCTGGCCCGCGTAGAGTGCTTCAGCCGTCCCTGTTTGCCGAGCACCTCTTGTGTGCCCGGCCACCTGCCAGTTGCCAGGAAGGACTAGGGTTGAACAAGACAACATGGTCTGTGCCTTCATGAAGCTTCTATACGTCAGTGGGAGAAAAGGAGTGCCAGGGAAGTTTAGCAAAACAGCCACCCACTTTTCTTGCCCATAGGGGCTAAAGCTTTCCTGAGTATGAAACATTCCATACCCTTTCTCTTTAAATGAAACCCTTTGGCAGTAAAAGGATTTGAACCTGGTCAAATAGGCTCCCTTTCAATCAAAACTAAACATACCTTGATCTTAAGGACCTAAAACTTCCTCCAAAGCTCCAAGCTCTTTGGCCTGTCTTCCCTCCTGCAGCAAAGTAGGTGGCAGGTGAAAGATACTCTCCCCTAGTTTGTCCACCCATGTCCTTGGGGACAAAACTGGTAGACAGAATCTAATCACGTTTCTTGCTTTTGATAGGTCTGTGGTGGCAAGTCTTATCCTAAATATTCCTATTTTTGATTTCAAGTTGACCACAAGGAATAGAAGTCAGAATCTCATCACTGCTCCCTTCTGCTGTGGGATCCTGAGAACATTTCTAGCTAGCCTAGGAAGATATACCTAAGCAATGTTGATTTCCTCTTATCTTGGTCCATAACTACTCATTTTAAAAAGACTAAGTCCTTTTTGGGCCATATCGAAAAATATGTTTCTTCAAGAACTGCACTTTGCATTCTTCAATATCTAGATTCAGGGAGAGAGAATTTATTCATTCAATACTTACTGAACACTTTATGCCAGGCACCATCCTATATTCTCAAGCCACACAAGTGAAAGACTTTGCCTTCAAAAAGAACTGACATAATTGTAAAAGGATGTCAGAATTGCTCTGTGGGAACACAGGAGGTTGTTAGTAATTCTCTCAAAATTCTAACAGCAAGATAAGCCTGGGTTATCTGAGAACTTGTCAACCTCCACCCTAAATAAACCTAGAAGTGAGGAGTCCAGAGGCCTCTTGTTAGGTACATGACACATACCACATATAAATAATTAAAATCCAGAGTTAAAGAGGGAATCTTAAAAGCAGCAAGAGAAAAATAACTAGTTCCATATAAGAGAATGCCCCCTCCCCCATAAGACTATCAGCAGAAACTTTGCAGGCCAAAATGCAATGGCACTTTACATATTCAAAGTGCTGAAAGAAAAAAGCTTCCAACCTAAAATACTCTACTGGGCAGTTACCATTCAGAATTGAAGGGAGAGTTTTCCAGACCGGCAAAAATTAAGGGAGTTCATCACCGCTAAACCAGCCTACTGGAAATTTAAGCTGAAAAAGGATGTTAGTTTAATAACAAGAAAACATACAAAAGTATAAATCTCACTGGTAAAGGTAAATGGTAAAGGTAATGGGATTAATCACTTACAAAGCTGGTATGAAGGTTAAAAAACAAAAGTAATAAAAAAAAACCTGTAACTACAGTAATTAAGGGATACGTAAGATAAAAAGATGTAAAATGTGACATCAAAAACATAAAATATGGGGGTGGGGTGAAAATGAAAGTGTAGAGCTTTAGAATCCATTCAAACTTAAGTTATTATCATTTAAAATAGACTGTTATTAGAGAACAACTTATAACTACAAAGCAAAAACCTTTAGTGGGTACATAAAAGATAAAATAAGTATATATCTATCAGTAATTACTTTAAAAGTAAATGGACTAAATTCTCCAAATAAAAGATAGAGTGACTAAGTGGATTCCAAAAAACAAGACCCATGTATATGCTGCCCACCAGAGACTCACCTGAGATCTAAAGACACAGACTGAAAGTGGAAGAATGGAAAAAGATATTCTATGCAAATGAAAACCAAAAGAAAGCCAGGATATAACTATACTTATATCAGACAAGACAGACTTTAAAACAAAGGCTGTAATAAGAGACAAATAAGGGCATTACATAATGATGAAAGGGTCAATCCAACAAGAGGATACAATATTTGTAAATATTTTATGCACCCAACGTAAGAGCACCTAGTAAATAAAGCAAATATTCATAGACCTAAAGGGAGATGTAGACAGCAATACAACAAAGTAGGGGACTTCAGTACCCTACTTTCATCAGTGGATAGATCATCCAGACACATTCAATAAGGAAACTAGCTGTATATGATATATTAAATCCATCTGGTATAACAACTATGTATAGAACATTCCATCCCAAAACAGAATACACATTTTCAAGTACACATAGAGCATTCTCTAGGATAGATCATATGTTAGGCTACTGCAAACAAGTCTTAATAAATTTAAGAAGTTGAAATCTTATCAAGAAATCAAAAAGATACATCTATCAAAATTCATCAAATTGTACATCTGAAATATGTGTAGTTTACAGAAATTATACAATAAAGCTTAAAAATAAAAAACACCTGAGACAAAATGGAAATGTAACATATCAAAAATTATAGGATGCAGCAAAAGCAGTTCTAAGAAGGAATTTCATAGCAATAAACATGTACATCAATAAGCAAAACAAAATAATCTCAAATAAAAAACCTAACTTTACACCTCATGGAACTAGAAAAAGTAGAGCAAAGTCCAAAGTTAACAGTAAATAAAGTAAATAAAGATCACAATGGAAAGAGGCTAAAAAGAAAATTAAATAAGAATCCAAAAGAAGAAGTAAAACTCACTATTTGAAGATGATGCTTTATATAGAGAATCCTAAATATGCCACCAAAAAAACTATTAGAACTAATAATGAATTCAGTAAAATTGCAGGGTACAAAACTAATATACAGAAATCCACTGCATTTCTATATGCTAACAACAAACTATCATAAAGAGAAATTACGAAAATAATCTCATTTACAATTGCATCAAAAAGAATAAAAGATCTAGGAATAAATCTAAGGAGGTAAAAGACCTGTACCTGAAAAAATTATAAGACACTGATAAGAGAAATTGAAGACACAAATGGAAAAATATACCATGCTCATGAACTGGAAGAATTAATCATGTTAAAATGTCCATACTACCCAAAGCAACCTACAGATTGAATGCAATCAAAATTCCAATGGCATTTTTCACAGAAATAAAACAATCCTAAAATTTGTATAGAACCACAGAAGAACCAAAGCAATCTTGAGAAAGATGAACAAAACCAGAGGCATCATGCTCCCTAATTTCAAACTCTATTATAAAACTATAGGAAAAAAAAAAACCCCAGCATGTACTGGCATAAAAACAGAAACAGATGGGGGTGGAGGGTGGGTAGAGCTCAGTGGTAGAGTGTATTCCTAACACGCACAAGGTCCTGGATTCAATCCCTAGTACCTCCATTAAAAAAAACCAACTAATTAGCTACCCTCCCCCCAAAAAACCAGATACAGATCAATGGGGGGTGTATTTGTACAGATACAGAAATAAATTCATGCATGTGTGTCAGATTAATTTACAGCAAAGGAGCCAAGAATGTATAATGGGGGAAAAGACAGTCTCTTCAATAAATGGTGTTGGGAAAACTGGACAGCCACCTGCAAAAGAGTGAGACTCAACCACTATCTTACACCATACACAAAAACTAACTCAAAATGGACTAAAGACTGATAAAAGAAATTGAAGAAGACACAAATAGAAAGATATACCAGTAAGACCTAAAACCATAAAACTCTTTTAAGAAAACATAGGTAAGTTAAGCACCTTGACATCAGTCTTGACTCCAGATGTGACACCTAAAGCAAAGGCAACTAAACCAAAAATAAACAAGTGGGACTAAATTAAAGTAAAAGGCTTCTGCACAGCAAAGAAAACCAAAAGCAAAATGAAAAGGCAACCTACTGAATGGAAGAAAATGTAAATCATGCATCTGATGAGTGGTTAATAACTAAAATCTATAAAGAACTCACTCAAGTCAATAGCAAAAAATCAATTTGGTTAAAAAATGGGCAGAGGATCTGAATAGACATTTTTTTTAAAGAAGACATACAGATGGTCAACAGGTACATGAAAAGATGCTCAACATCATTAACCATACTAGAAAGATTATTGTCAAAAAGACAACAAATAACAAGTGTTGATGAGGATGTGGAGAAAAGAGAATCCTTCTGCACTGTTGGTGGGAGTGTAAATTGGTGCAGCCACTATGGAAAACAGTATGGAGTGTCCTCAAAAAATTAAAAATAGAACTACCATACCATGCAGCAATTCTACTGTGGGTGTTTATCAAAATATAATACTATTTAAAAAAGATAAATGCATCCCCATGTTCACTGTGGCATTATTTATGATAGCTAAGACATGGAAACAACCTAAATGTCCATCCATGAAGGAATGGGTTAAAAAAAAAAGTACATATATACCATAGAATATTAGTCAGCCATGAAAAAGAATGAAATCTTCCTATTTGCAACAACTTGGATAGACTTTGAGGGCATTATGCTAAGCAAAATAAGTTAGGTAGAAAAAAATA